CTAGATGACTTGGTACACCTCGAAAACGATCGCCAGAACCATTAGAGCGATGTGGATCTTGAGGCTCATAACTCGAGTGCTTAGAATGCCTCGATGACTTTTCGTTAGAGCATGACCGGGGTTGAGACCCTCCAGAATGGGCCTTGAGAGCTCCCAACAGAGGTGGAGCTGGACCGTCAGAAGGCATAGCAATAGAGAAGGGAACTAGAGTGAGTTGCCCTTCAGGACCTGGCACCATTCTCCAATTGAAATTGGTAGCGCCTTCGGGTAGTTGAGCAGCTTGTCCTGTTAAAGGTATAGACTGCTGTAGTAGACCACCCTGTACCATGGCAATCTGAGTAGACGATTCAGAATTGCCTTGACCATTAGCAACCATAGTTAATGTGTCGGTAGAAACAGCTTTCTTAACATTACCATCATCAGTAGCCGTGTCGAGAACTTCAGGTTCTAGATCACTACCGACAGTTAGATCATCATCAGATAAGACCTTATTGTTGATGTTGTCTTCACTCTCGATGGAGCGTTTAGATAAGGTCAAGCTTCCAGATCGAGGACGACCAATCTTAGACTTAGACTTGTCGTTAGCTTTGCTCTTAGAAACAGCTCTAGAGGCAGGCGTACGGACAACATTACCAGTCATATAGACAGTACCAAGATCTATGGTAGTGTCTAAACCATTACTAACAGAAGGAATGCTAGTAGTATAACCAATATCACAACGTTCAGAACTAGAGCCGAACGTAGGAGTTCGACTTGATTGCCTTGAAGGTGGTACAGATAGAGCTTCCATTGGGGAAGCAATTGACCCGCTCACACTTTTAACAGAACGTTGACACTCGTGGGACGAGCTATCAATAGATGGATATCTCATAGCCTTGCACTCAGCGTCTAGAGGTTGACCTTCTTGATGTGGACGTACTTCTATAGACTGATCAACATGTTCAGTCGAAATTACAGCATCCATAGACGAGGATACTAACCATGGTGACATAACTGACGTCATGGGGAGAAGTAGACCGACCCATAAGAACGTAGAGATTCATTAGAGTCAAATACGGCACAATGGTGCTGTATGTATCCGCTCTAGATGGTAGAGAACGAACACGCTTTCAGAGGAAGCCATAACAGATGGCTTCTTGATATCAGCGTTGCCAAGATCGGGCATAGACGTTGATCTAGTGCACATAGGGGCTCGGAAAGATATCCCGGTAGAATGTACGGGACGACTTAGAGTAGAACTAGAAGAAATCAGTAGTGGTCTTGAAGTAGATGTACTTCTTGGTGGTTCAGTCGCGTCGTTAGACGGAGGTGTAGAGGGAGTTAAACCTGTTGAATCATGAGGAAATGCACAGCGATCACGGTTAGACAATTTCATTCCAGATCTAAGTAACATCCCGTGTAGCTTGTAACACGATCAGGTGAGGCAATAGAGATTACGATGCGATACTAGTGAGGACTGGTTAACTCAAGTAGAACTAGAGTTAGGATGAGGTAGCAGATCACACAATCAATCACTGGACTCAGTCCAGTCTAACAATTACCACTAGAATACTAGCTTTCCTAGCTTAAGTAGCTTCGAGAAAACCAGAGACGGATCTAACCGTTTCTAGTATCCAAAACCGTTAGATAGATGCATCCGAGCGAGAATAATAATATTATAGTTCAACAATAGAATACGAGGCGAGCGAGATCTTTGTCGCGCTGCCACGATGGGACAGCACATCTAATAACGGAGGCGTGGGAACAATTAATGGACGGAGAAATACCGTACCCGGGGATCGAACCCGGGCGCTTCTGGCACAATATAGCGAAATGTGTAGAATCGATCAGATTGTCGCAGCCTTCAGATTGGCAATCCCACAAGGCACCGTCCTACACCGCCATGTCTCATAGGAAGTTTGAGGTCCCCCGTCACGGGTCATTGGGTTTCTTGCCTCGCAAGCGTACCCGCCATCATAAGGGTAAGGTAAAGTCGTTCCCCAAGGATGACCAGTCCAAGCCCTGCCACCTTACTGCCTTCATGGGCTACAAGGCTGGCATGACCCATATCGTCCGTGATGTCGATAAGCCGGGTTCTAAGCTTCATAGGAAGGAGGTTGTTGAGGCCGTCACTGTCTTGGAAGCTCCTCCTATGGTCTGTGTTGGTTTCGTTGGTTACGTCGAGACCCCCAACGGTCTTCGTGCTCTCACCACTGTGTGGGCAAAGCACTTGTCCGATGAGGTCCGCCGTCGTTTCTACAAGAACTGGTATCACTCCAAGAAGAAGCTTTCAGCAAGTACCAAGAGAAGGACCATGACGCTGAGGTCCAGCGGTGTAAGAAGTACTGCCAGGGTTGTGCGTGCCATCATGCACACCCAGGTCAGCAAGGTGAAACTCACTCAGAAGACGCCCACATTGTCGACGTCAGGTCAACGGTGGCTCTGTATCTGACAAGGTTGATTT